TTAAAGGCTCGGGGAGCTGCAACTTTCAAACATTCCACCATTAGATTGACAAAAGAACACTTCAACGTAACCAATTAGTAAATACAATCATGCTGGTACGAAATTATAAATCAATAACAACATAATACATAATACAATCATAATACCACAACAATAATACCATAATAACACAAAAGTATACTTCAAAAATAAAAATACAAAAATACTAGCATAATAAAACAATGATAACACCAAAATAACACTTTAACATAACGCTGTTAAAAACACTAATTAGATACAACAATAAATAACACCATCATATGTAATACAACCATAATACTACAATAATAATACCATAATAACAAACACACACTCTTGAAAGCCTATAGTTCATCAATACTACCATAATACAATCATAATAACACCATAATAAACCCATGATAAAACCTAAATAAGACCCAAATGATAAAAAAAAAACAATATCAACCACAATAATACCAGAAAGATAATACCATTACGACAACTTACACATAATGATAACACTTACAAATTAACTTAGCAATCAAATAATATAGTAATCAAACCATCCGAGCCCAGCAATACTATCATTTGGAAGCCATTAATCGCAACACACATAACATAAGAAAGAACTCTACCTGAGGAATACTTCCGGACGCAGCTAATGATCCAAGCTGATCGCCATCATTCTCAGATTCCATCAACATTTCTTGGTCGAATGAGAAATCCATTTAATGTGGTCTCGGAACGGAATAAGAACTCTGCCCTACTCGTCGAATACTAACAGACGAGCTCTGCCCTACTTGTCGACTACTAACAGACGAGAAAATAAAAAAAATCTACATCCATAAGACACTAATAATCTTTGGCGGGATCGAAAATGTCCAAATGTTAGATTTGGCGGGATTCAATAAGCACAAATATACGCTTTTTCCGGTTATTGGGCGGAGTTCTGGTCGGGTCACACATTCTGCTTATTTATCTTCGCTGGGGGCCCACCATTACACATGTTAATTTTTCATTCGCTACCGCATGCAGAGAACATGCGGTCGTCGGACCTAATAATTTTTCCACACTAACACACCGATTATACATTACTAATGAATTGGAGTAATGAATTGGAAATTAATCGAATCGATCCATGGATCTTTACATTCTATAAATACAAACGAAAACATCATTTCTTCCTTCCCAAGCATTGTTTTTTTTTCCTCGACAGACCGCAGTTGCCCGTTCGTCTTCTACCTTCTTCAACTGTTTGTTTCTGTTCATTTTTTCTCTAAATTCCGATGAAGCTCGATACTAGCGGCCTCCAACCTTTCGTTCCCCACTGCCGTTCGCTCGACGATTTCCGCTGCGACATATCTGGATCCCCTTCTTTCGAACTTCCCAGCTGCCCTGATGTGAGTTACTGCGTTGTTGGATTGCTCGGCAGCATTAGTTTTGTGCCTCTTTTTGAATAGAATAATCATTATTATTGATTCTCTCATTTTTTTTCTTTCCATGCAGTTTGATGCATTTCAGAAAAAGGCTGTACAGATGGTGAAGCCGGCAAAGGGAACGACCACGCTTGCATTCATTTTTAAGGAAGGTGTCATTGTCGCTGCTGATTCCCGAGCCAGTATGGGCGGATATATCTGTAAGTTTATTTGCATGTTATTTTATGTCTGTTTTTTTATACCGCTACAATAAAATTTGGAAGCCTCTTTCATTGCATCGTGATTTTGAGGGTTTCTCTTTGAGTTTTGTTTTATCACCCAGGATCATAATCACTTGGAAGATGATATAAAAAAAAGAGCAATATAAAAAAAGGGGAAGAGAAAAGGATAAACAATAATACTACATTTAGGAACTTGATTTTCATCGTTTCTGTAAGGATTGGTGGGACTTATTATACCAGCAAGTGTAGCTTTTGTATGACCAAAAAGAGGCCACTTAGATCATTAGAGATCAAGTAGCTATAGCCTGGCTACTAGTAAAATATGTCCGAGCGGGTGAATCCAGAAGTGGACTACACAGGATCAACCTGAGCATCAGTTAAATCACTATAGGCCAAATTCAAGAGGCCGAGTACGTGGACCAACGAAGGCAAAGGGTTTTCTCGCTCAGTAAAAGATTTTAGCATGGGAAGACCTCTCCATGACTCCAACTTTAGTTGGAATATGATTATTAAAGTCATCCATGGGTCCAGAGGTCTAGGGATGAGATATGCCTAAACATATCATTTTGTGGAAACCAATCCTTATCAATAGGGGTATTAAATATAAATCGGATTCTAATTTTCTACTCCTTGGAGCCACAAAAAAACCTTCTTCGGTGTTTCTCATCTTGCTTAGTTTTCTTCCCATGTTCTCTCTCCTTCTTGACACTCTATTCCTTGGGTGTGATTTGAGAAATCCTTACTCTGCATATCACTTGGGGCGAGGACGATAAAAATTCACTACCATGATCAACTATATCATATTCAAAGATAATAAGGAGGATCTACATTTGATTTTTATTGATTTAGAAAAGGCTTATGATAAGGTTCCAAGAGATATCCTTTGGAGAGTCATTGAGAAGAAAGGTGTTGATATAACTTATATTTAAGTCATTAAAGATATGTATGCTAGAGCTATTACTTGTGTTCGAACTGAGGAGGACTGACCAATTATTTTCCTATTTCTGTTGGATTACATCAGGGATTGGCTTTAAGTCCATATCGTTTTGCTTTATTATGGATGGTCTTACTGGACATTTACCGGAGGATATACCTTGGTGTAGGTTTTTTGCTGATGACATCCTTTTCGTGTATAAGATGAGAGAAAATGTCCAGGAAAAACTTGAATTATGGATATCTACATTGGACTCTAAAGGCCTTCATTTGAGTAGAACTAAAACTGAATACATGGAATGAATTTTAGTAGTAGTAGCTCTAGTGACAGAAGTGTAACTTTGGGTGATCAAATTATTAAAAGGTGTGAATGATTTAGATACCTCGGGCCTGTTGTTCAAAGCGATGGTGATATAGATGAGGATGTTAATAGTAGAATTCAAGTTGGTTGGTGGAAGTGGAGGAACGCTTCGGGCTTTTTGTGTGATAGAAAAGTACCACTTAGACTGAAGGAAAATTTTATTAGATGGTGGTGAGACCTGCAATGCTCTATAGCGCTGAATATTGGCCTTTAAAAGAGAAACATAATACTAAGTTAAGTGTTTCCGTGATGAGAATGATTAGGTGGATAAGAGGCTTTACCCTTAGAGACAAAAATGCGAAATGAATATCTCCGTGATAGGCTTGGTGTTGCTCCAGTAACGGGCAAAATTAGAGAGAATCGTTTTAGATGGTTTGGTCATATTAAACACCGACCATCTGATTATCGGATTAGGAGAGTAGATGTTTTAGATTCGACTTATGTCAAGAAAGGCATAGGTAGACGTAGGTAGACTTGGGCTTATTGTATAAAAAATTATCTTAATTTATTAAAATTAAATGAAAATATGACACTAAATAGGACGCAATGGAGAAAAAGGATTCATGCAGCCGACCCCATGCAGTCCGTTTAAGGCTTTGTTGTTGTTGTTCAACTTTATCATATTCGACTCACTAGCAACTTATAATGTCATATTCAGTTGTTCCCTCAACATTTGCAAGGTTGTCATCACGACATACTATATAACCGTAAATTTTTTAGAAGAAAGTGGAGTGATCACTATCAGTGGCAACCTAGAACAGTCACGCAATTGCTACCTATGGACGGTAAGCAACATGTATTGGGAGAGCTTTGAGCTGGACGTCCAATGAGGAAGTGGCATGGAGATAAGCTAAGTGTTCAAAGAGATCCTTGTCAGAGAAGCCAATAAATTGTTTCGATAAAGTATGGCTTTTGATGCAGGTCGTAGGGATTATTACATTATCTCACTCTGGGAATATCATGATGTGTTCGCTAGTCGACTCAGGATATGCTAGGAGTCACTGTTGTTGTCACCAATCACCAGCTTAACATCGACATGAAAGTTTAACCCATCAAATAGAAGACGAGGTCGATGATACTCACATTAGCAGAAATGATTTTAGAAGAAGTGCTAAGGCTGCTAGAGGTAGGCTACGTCAACGAAGTGTAGTGCTCATATTAGATAGTGAACGTGGTGATGGTTCTGAAGCCGAATGGCAAATGGTGAACATGTGTCGACTTCACTAGCCTTAACATATCATACTTGAGGACAACTACCCCATACTATTGATCGATGCACTCATAGATTTGATTGTTGGTTACTCGGGCGTGAGCTTCTTGGATGTTTTTTTTGCGCATTACCAAATAAAAATGCATCCTGTGGATACTGAGAATACCGTGTTCATCATCATGAAAGGGAGTTTTCTGTTATATTTAATGTCTCGAGTTCAAGAACGCAGGTGCCACATACTAGAGAATGATTGATGTAATATTTGTCATCCCAAAATGAAATAATATTGAAGTCTATGTTAATGACACACTGATCAAGAGTAAATTTGTTGGACAACACATAAATAACTTAAAAAAGTTTCAAAATACTAAGAAAATATAATATAAGATTGAACCCATTTAAGTACACATTCGGGGCTAAAATAGGATAGTTCCTAGAGTATCTGCTAACACTCGAATGGATCAGAGCTAATCCTTTGAAGGTTCAAGAGCTTGTGAACATGTCGTCGTCTCGCAACACCAAAGAGCTCCATAAACTAACAGGACATTGCAGGTCTAATTTCACTTCATTTTTAGATCCAAAGAAAAGTGCGCAGCTTTCTTCAAGATTCTAAGGAATGCTAATAATTTTTTATAGATGACCAAAGAAGAGCAAGCTTTTCAGCAGTTGAAGAGTTTCCTTGCATCATCTCCATTATTTCAAACCTCGAAGTTGAATGAAGAACAGTTCTTGTACCTCGGGGTTAGCTTTGAAGCCATTAGTTCGGTTTTAGTAGGAGAGTAGCTAAGGATGTAGTTCTCTGTCTATTACATCAACATGATCCTACAGGGCTCCGAGCATGTCTATCTAATTTTGAAAAGGCTAACCGTTGCATTGGGAATGTTCTAACTTGACATAGTTGGGTATTGTGTGCTTTTAATTGGAAGCATGAGCAATGATCTATTGGTTGCTTAGGGTTTAGTCTATTTTGATACTCAATCCAAACATATGTTTCCATGTTTCAATAATATGGCATGTAATAACATCCGGCTGTTTAGTTATTTCTATAGTTTAGTAGAAAAAAATCCTCTCCTATACAATTGATGACCATGGAATGTTCTTGTTACATTAATCTCATCATCCTACATATTGAAATCTCGCATAAGCTCTTAGACTTTAGAAAAGTGTCAGAAAAAATTTTGTAGCTCAAGTTGAACCATAAATCTTTTTTTGTAATGTTTTGAATCATTTGGTGGCGCAAACATCTGGAGATTGTGCCATACTTATCCTCAAAACTTGTATGAAGAATGACATGTTGTATACAACATTTTATACTAATTCTTGTCTAGTTTGCACAAATAGTGAACTTAAAAAAACTAATCATAAGGTAAAAACATAAGGACACACTTAGTATGCATTTTATTCTCTTTTTCAGATTTTAGTTTTGTGAACCAAAATTCACATTTTTGGTTCAATTCATTTTGATTGAAGGTCGTCGACTAAAATAGCCTCTTTGCAATGATGAGGCAACTTGAATACATAAACCCTTTCATATATCTTGCATTATTGGAGCTTCATGGCCCTTAGACATATCGTGAAGTTTATAACTACTCATTCTTAAATCAGGTGTAGGATTGAAGAAGCAATATTGACTTCATTTTTGTTTTAGTCATGTCATAGCCTTTAGCTAGGTTTGGAAGCTATGTT